GAACCAGCACTGAGATGCGGCTGGAGTTTGAGGTCTTTTAATAAACTTCACTTCAGCAAATCATGTGTGAGGCCATTCACTTGAACTCATAGAACCCTACATAGAAGTGATAGTAAAGATTATGTGAAATACACTACTGTACCGGGTAGTGGATCCAGGGGACCATTGTACTCCAATCTTTCTACAAGGGATACATGAGGAAAAATCCATTGCAGCCTACAAAAGGGTTAGAACTTAAAGGATTCAAGGCATTTGGGGTTAAGTGACTTGCCCAGGGTCACATAGCTAGTAAGTGTCAAGTGTTTGGTCTGAGGCTGGATTTGAACTCAGGTCCTCCTGACTTCAGGGCTGGTGCTCTATCCACTGCACCACCTAGCTGCCCCAGGATTCAAGAGATTTAGTGACAAGACTATCCATACTTGGCCTACCTCAAAGGTTCCCAAACTTATTTGGCCTATCACCCCCTTTTAAAAAAATTACTCAGTGCCCCCTTGGAAATCTACTTTCTTTAACCCTTTAACAGTTTTTTAAAATTTGCATAATTTCAAAAAGACATAATTTTTAAAAAATGATTCATCTTAAATTTAATTATTGTAATTTTGTGGGTTTTTTTCCTGCATTGAAATTTTGATGATGCAATATTGTATAATGTAACCATATAGTATTGTATTGTAAACAAGTCATTACACGCACATATTCCTGCTGATGCATGCTGTTATTTCTGATCAAGCTCGACATAACTCACCTGCTTACTTCTGTTTGTTAAAACCTGTTGTCAGACTTGACCACTGATTGGTTGTAACTTGAATTTTGTGTGTTTATTTGGAAAATAACGTCATCACTATGACTTTAACTCTGTTACACAAGATGAAACATGTACAAACTGTTCTTCAAAATTTTATCTTCTCTTCTTTCCTTATACTTCCACGGGGCTACTACCATCCCCTTGGATTGGTCCAGCACCCTCCAGGGAGTGGTATCGCCCACTTTGGGAACCTTTGGCTCTATATTATAGTTAGACTAAAGCCTGCTAATTAATTTGAGGAGGAGAGTGAAGTGAATACCTTGGCTTTGATATATCTAGACTCAGAGAACATCTCTAGAATGTTAGTTTTGGGTGAGATACACTTTAATTTATTCAAGATCCTAGCAGCCTGTTGTGATCAACTAGCCGGAATTCAGTAAATATTTTGGACGTTCATTCAGCTTATGCAGAATCATGTTGTTCAACCTTCATTTTCTAAGAGAACCAATGACATCACAGGTGATGTCTTCACTTATTTGTGAATTGGATTTAAGTGAGGCAGAGTTGCACAAAGTCATCAAAGTCCAGTGGCAAGACAAAAATCAAGATGACTGGCAATAACCCGGTATGCAGTGGATGATCTTGGCATCTTCAATGTTTGAACAATGTCTAAGCCCTACACAGTGCCTGCTTCAGCTGCCTTCATGGCCACTGGAACAAATTGTTCTCATCTACCCATTCTCACTGGGGAAGTCTTCACATGCTTGGAGTAGACACCCCCCCTACCTCACTGATGGGTCTGAGGTCTATTGGTTATCCTCAGCCTGATTTAGCTTGGCTGAAACAGTTTTACTGGGGTGTGGCTGCTGTGCCTGCTACAGCTTCTTGGAGCCACTTGGAGACTTGAGTGACAGGTGAACACCTAACGTGAATGAGCAGCCCCAAAAAGGGCTTGGAAATCCCTCATACCAAGGGTGCTAGTCCTCCCTGAGCACCCCATACAACCCATGCAGAATCATATAGGAAAACAGTAGTAGGTGGTGGCAGTAAACACCATCAAGGCACTGTTTTATTAAACTCAGGGACAGATTCAGAGAAATTTTATTTTGGTGACTCACCAGTGCCTAAAGAATAGGAGACCCAGGGACAGCTAGGTGGCACAGTGGATAGAGCACTGGTCTTGGAGTCAGGAGGACCTGAGTTCAAATCTGGCCTCAGACAGATAATACTTCCTAGCTGTGTGACTCTGAGCAAGTCACTTAACCCCAACTGCCTCATTAAATAAAAAAAAAAATTGAAGGCCCAGTTGAAGGAAAAGTTAATTGGATGATAAAGGTGTTCTTGCAGCAAGAGTGGGATGTAAGAAAATCCAACTTACTAACTCCAAGAGATTCCCTATATGTGATAGATCTCAGAAACCATCTGAAGGAACTGCACAATAGTATCATCACAAAACACAGCAATCTGTATTCAGCAACTGTATCACTGGTACAAAATAAGACTGGGAAGATTGGAAGTGCATGATTCTGAACCAACCAGATTTTGAACATGAAAATTTAAGTGGACCATGTATAAGTATACTATGCCAAGAGTTCAAGATGTGCTGGATTGCTTACAAGGCCATCAGTGATTCTCAGTTTTGGATTTAAACAGAAGTTGCTACTGGATCTAATAGCAAAATAAGACAAAGATAGCTTTCATTGTCTCAGTTGGATTTTACCAGTTTGATGTTATGCCTCAAGATACCTTGGAAGCATGAATATCTACCTCTTGTCAAAGGCATATGGAGAAGGTGGTTGGGGACTACTTGGAAATGTTGCTGCACCTCCATTGCTAATGGGAAGCATACTAGTGGGGTTGCAGGAGCTAGCGTTGGGAGCAGGCACCCACAGTTAGCCCTGTGGTTTGTTACTGGTGGCCTCTCTGGGGACCTACCCTACAGTTGTAAAATGGGGGAATACCCAAGACGGGGTTTTACAAGTAAAAGTATTAAAAATATGTTATGGTCATCTATCCTGAAGGCTTATTTTTATTATATAACCTGATTATTTATAAAAATGTTATTTTTTCTCTATAATTTCAGAATAAACTTTTCATTTAAGTAGGTTTAAGAATAACTTTTAAGGTTTTATCACCATTATCATTAGGTTTTTTAAAAAAGGATACTTTATTGCTTGAATATTAAAAAAGGTAAAATTCAAAAAAAATTGATGCAAAGAAATGTTAAAGCTAGATGTATTTTTTAAATATGAAGCACAGAATCACTCACTGAATTTCAAGGAAATACTATATCCCTTTAAATATTTATTATATGTTTTAAATTACACTCATCTGAAAACTACAAGCAGACAGTCTGCGAATATTACATTCAGATTACATCCAAGAACAATGATTAACATTTTTACTTTAACATCAATTATGTATAGTTTACAGTTAATGGAAAAAAGAGACCAAAGTTTCTTGAGCTTTTTTTTTAACATGGAAAAAAAAAGTCAGTAAGGAAACTGGATTACCAAAGACACAGCACTACCAATTTAAAGAGTAAAAATGATTTCTAATTATTATCAATTTTTACAACTTACAATTCAACTTTTTTAAAGTAATAAATTATGTCAATATTAAAGGGTCACTGTCAGGGTGAAAATATACATATTAAAAAGTAATATATATTAGGAAAATGCTTTGGGTTTTTTCCTCTGTTTTATTCTTGGCACATCCCATATCACGGAGAGTAAAAATACACTTTGTCAAGTTTGCTCCACAGAGCTGGCCATTAGCCAGACTTTCCACAAGTTTCAACAGTAGTAGAGTAATACAATCTTGAGTAATGTTGCTTAAAATACATCAATTTAAATGTTTTGAAACTTTATTCTTCTACCAGATAAACACCCTCATTCCCTAAAGAATTTTGGACATTCCCATTACAAGTAAGTGTAAACCTAAAACCTTTAATTTTTCAAGGGAAAATAATATATTATTTTAGACCCTATTAGCTAATAGGGGCAGTAACTTAAGGGTTTGGAGTTTACTATTCTTATGACCAATGTAAAAATAATGGCTCTCTCTGAAGGTATCTAATAATTTTGTTCATGGCGTCCCCACTAATACCACAATAATTCTCAGTACAATGTTGAGTTTTTAATATTCACATATAAGCTCCAAAGTCCAATCTAATAGAAAAGCTGTCTTAAAAAGTGATCACTCTGACAAAGGTCCAATGATATCTTCACTTTTTTATATTAAAATTTTTTTGATGACACTGAGTTATTTTTAAAGACTACAAAATTACTTAGTTTTAATTTATAGAGTCAATTATGAGAAAGGTCAATTTAGATTAGGACTTGATCCTTCTTACACAAAGAGCTGAGCATGCAAGAGATCACACAGCACAGACAGAATCTTTATTTGTATGTACTCAAACAACTGTCTGGTTTCTTTGATTCCAGATTATGAGCTCTATCGCTCTGTGTGGGTGGTTAGTGAGAACATGAAAACCACAGTTAAGAGTTGTATATAGTCTAGAACCCCCTAATTTCCTTGTCTTTAATTATTTATATGGCTACAGAAAAACAAGGTAGAAAAACATTCATTTTTATAGGCTCTTCCATAAAGCAGTATTGTTCCTCTTGTCACTCCCCCAATAATCAGGAATACTGAAAATACTGAAAATTTTCTATTAAACCTGTTCAATCAGCATAGGGGATGTCTGATGTAAATAAGTAATTTGCCAATCTACAACCATCCCTTCCTTCAAAATCTGGCTCATTATTTGTCTCTCCTCATAAGCTTTCCAGATCTGGCTAACCTCACCCTATAAACATTACTTGCTTGTTCTGTTTCTCAGTATTTATGTACACTAATTGTTATCCTTACTTTGCTTTGCTATCCTACTTTCTGTTGTATGTTTGCTCTAGCTCAATTGTGAGTTCTGTGAGGGCAGGAACCCCATCTTTAACTCCCATTACATTTCCCCATGGTGCCTGGCACAGTGTTGTGCTTATGGTAGATGCTTAAATTCTGTTTAAAGAAATGAATATGGAGAATTTCTGGGGAAGGAGAAAGTTTTATGCTGTTTCAGAAACTCTCCTAAAACTGAGTTTCATCTTACTGTCCCAGTTTGAATTCAGAAATGCTAGGACTAGAAAGGTAGTATTAACAGTTTACAAAAATTCTTTTAAATTTCTCCAGACACACACACACACACACACACACACACACACACACACACACACACA